CTTCGTCCCCCCCCCCCCCCCCCCCCCCTTAAGACCCCCTTAAGGGGGTGACCCTTAAGCCCCCCCTTGAAGCCCCCCTTAAGCCCCCCTTGAAGCCCCCCTTAAGCCCCCCCTTCGTCGAAGGTCTGGGGCCCAGCCCCCGGTTGGAAGTGTTGGCACAACAGTGGTAACAACCGTCCAAATGCAGAGCCGGTTTTCAGGGGTTGAAAACAGCTCGCAAGCGTTGCCGCGGACAAGAAGCCTCCACAGTTTTACTGTCACAGGCGCGATCGATCTCTTACTGCTTGTGCGTCACGACTGGTGCTGGTTGGAGCATTTTATACTTGCCATTTCTTGTGTTGTAAGCTGGACATTGGCAATTTGGGGTTATACCTGAGAGCTCGCTGCTTTTTGACGACTTGCTTAGACTGCCAGCCTGCTAGCCGGAATGGCAACTTTGGTCGTAAGCGGATCTGAGCGGGGCTGCTGTTCATGTGAGGCTGGTAATTAACTGCTGAACGACATTTTCCGACAAAGTCTATGAGTCGCAGCATGTTTCACCGCTTTTGGTAGATTTATTGGTTTTAGTTTTTGTTGCTTGCGTTAACCAAGTGCGGCAGCCGCCGTCGACAAGACTTATCCACGCAAAAAAAACACATCTGGCTTTCTGGCCCACCACCCCACCACCCCACTGAAGCGCTTGCACAGCGACCAAAAGTGCTCTTTGTCTTGAGCGATTGATCACAGAGGTGTCATTCGCTGCCGACTTCGCTTTTACCAAAGCAGAAATTCAGTGAGCACACACTACACAAGCTGGCTGAAGCGGGTTGCTGCAGGTGCCACAAGAAGCTGGGTTGGCGGCTTCATTTAACGTCCACAGCACAGTGGCGGCCAATAGAAGACGAAGAGAGCTTTCTACTGCCGACGTTGTGTCACTCCATTGAAGAAGGGCGCGTTGCAACTTTATGCTGGCTTGTTGTTGCTCAGTCTGGCCATGGTAAGTGGCATGTGTGGGTACAGCCAAGAAATGCTCCTCTTTTTGGCCGAGGCCCGGCGGCGCACCCTTCCCCAATTTTTTTGTACAAAAATTGAATTTTGAGTTCATTTGCCAATAGATTTGCTGATGTTGGTTTAATGTGTTTCTAAAATTTATTGATGCTTGAAATTGGAGTGTTTTGGTTGGACTTGCATCTATCAACATGTCAGAGTTTTTCGGAAGGGGCTGCTGTTGCAGTTGCAAAATTCGTAAGCTATTCGTTGCAACATGGTCGAACTTTGTGCCAGCAACGAAGTTAGCGTCAGTGGCAACGATCAATTGACCGGTTTATGTGGTTTTCATGTTACGCCTTTTCGATCGCCATTCGGTTGTGAGAAGCAGAACATTCTTTCGATCCAGATTGCCTCACATGACACATTCAACATAGTTGGATGTCGGTATGTGCTTATTCAACAATATGCAATCTTGCAGTGCTTGCTGGAAGCATGTCGCGGGAGAAATAGTATCAGCCCGACGTGTTCGGGCATCGCACCAGCATGATGACGTGTTCCAGACGCAGATCTCGAGCGCAGGTTGGATGTTTTCCACGACGGGTGTGGATCTGCGGGTGTTCGTTGTTAGACCACTCACCGTGCTGTGTTTTTGGGGCAGGCAAGTTATGTGATCCTCCTTGTCCTGGCGCTTTCCTGCCGCGAGCTGCTGGAGGCTGATTGGAGCATGTTTTTTCTGCTGCTTGCTGCGGGTTTGTTCGTTGTCGCGGGAAACAATCAGAAAGCATATGACTGCCATATGACTGACAGGTATCGAAACGTAATGTGTCGTCAGTTCGTTCCCGACTGACAGGTCCACTTTGAATCTTCAGCAACGAGAACTGCCTTCGCCATGGAGGTCGAGGGCTAGTTAGGTGCTATTGGAGAGAAACATGACTGAATGCCACTTGCAACTCAATCACGATCGTGCCTGACAAGCAGCAGTCGAATACGTTAGTTTTGTTGTGATGTTGTAGTTGTGCTTCAGGATTTTCACGCAGAGGGTTTGCGTGATGCAGCTGCTTCGCTGTGCGGCTTGGGTGTCGCTGCCGCTGTGATGATTCCCTCTGTCTGCCAACTTAGCTCTGTACAAAGTCATTGGTAGAGTATTTTGAAGATGTTGTGCAGTTACCGTGGGCGGTTGTCAAGTTTCATGCAGTGTTTCTGAGGTCATGCTCGGTCCAGTAGTGGCTATGCCACCAGCTTGCGCCCTTCTTTGTGCACAGATTGCCATGATCCATGGGTTGGCTCCTCATGTTTCGGCATCGCAACGGCGACTGCATCTATGCACAAATAACGAATGGCAGTCGTCGCAAGTGTGAGGCATGCATTACCGCTGTGCTTTTTGGTGGCAGCTGTTTCGGCAATGCTCGCGTGGCTTTCCTCGGCACTTGGTGCTTCAGCCTCGGGAGCATGGGTTCCGGATGCAAGATTGCATGGGCATCTAAGGCACGGGCTTCTCTTGGTTCCCAGCGTCGCCTTTCAATATTCTTTGCCTGATGCTTTGTGCTAGCTGGCATGGCAAGCATCGCAATTTGGGCTAAACCATGCACTCCCCTATGCACGCGTCAAGGCCGATAGTCCTCGGCCCTGGATCAGGTGCGGGGCTTGACATTTGATGTTTCTGTTGTTGCAGGCTGAGTCGGCGATTTGTGGGGTCAGCACGTACCAGTTCAATGCGCACACCTGTTTAGGTCTTTGCACTGCGAAGATCTTGGGCGGAGACCGCTGTGTTCTGTTTTGTGTCGCAGCCCTTATCCTCCCTGTTCTGGTGCACTGAACAACTGGCATGTTGTGGTTCAGGAGGCAGTTCACTGAGTTTTCCATTGCCACAAACTCCCATGACAGGTGCATTGATGCTCCGAGTGATGAAAGTTGCGAGCTGGCAATAAACCGCCTGCCACATCCGTGCATCTTCCTGGGACCTGAAGGTTCCCGAATCGAAGATGTTCAAGGTCGAAGCAGCGTAGGAGATGGTGAGAGCGGAGTAGCGGGGTCGACCAGAGAACCGCAGTCATCTGGGAGAAGGTCCTGCCGCCTCGTGCCGGTCTGAAGGCATGTCTGCACAAGGAGCTGCGCTGGACCGCTGGGAAACACCAGAGCGAAGTTTAAAAAAAACAGGTCGCTAGGTCGAAGGTGCGATCTGCGTAGGGCACGCGCAGCTGTTGCAAATTCAGGTTTGATACATAGCAATCGGAAGCCCTGCCTGCCGTGGCTCTTTCCAGCTGACCTACATGGAGGCATGCTTAATTGCCGGGAGCGGCGCAACATGCAAAGAGCAAGTGCTGATTATCTGCTACCTGGCGCATATTTGCACAAGCATGAGAAATACCTCACGCAGCGACTCCCAAATACTCGTTGCAGCTTCGCCTGTGGCTGCTCTGGCTGGCAGTGCAGGCAGGAGTGGCTCCCATACCTTTGGCCTCTGTCAGTGCTTTGATCCCATACCTCCACCTTTAAGGGTGTGTCGTCTGGTGTGAGCAACTGCTACCTCATTGACCTTGAAGGCACGCGCTCGATGGCGCAAGAAGCCGGGATGATTCCAGGCCTGTTATTGTCCCGTGGACGCTGCCCGAACCGACGACAATAACTTGTCATGTGCGTGAAGAGGACGCGCCGACTTGACAGGTTGTTTCAGTTCAAAACATGCTGTGCGATGCAGGCCTCCGCGAGCCTGCCAAAAGGACCGTCGAAAAGATTCAACTGTGATTGAACTGTTTGACCCTTGATGCTCCGTGACATTTCGCAGAGTCAGTGCCCCTCCCAAACCAGAGGAAAGGCCTGCGAGCACGCGAGCTGGACTTCCATTCCTCTTCACGCACAGTGCCGCTTCCGCAGCCCGGGTGCCTGGAGTGAGTGACACAACTGGGCACCCAGGTTTCCGGTGCGTTTGTGGGACCGAGGTACAAGCCAATGTTTGATGTGCATTTGCAGCGTCTGCCTCAGATGTTGACCTTTCACTGCGTGCTTCGAGTCTGTGCTGCAGCTGTTGAAGTTTGAAGGCACCTGTGGGTCAACCCTAAGATCAGGCAAGTCGTGCTTCTTGGTTGGCTGAGGGCCCAAAAATGCCGGTGCACTACGAAGATTTCGGAACCCTGAATTCCCGACGGTTGAAGACCACGCACTCTTTGATCAAGTCAGGTTGACTGATGATCGACTCAAATCCTGGCAGTTGCTGTGATTTATTCACGAACTTGCTATGATTCCTCCTTGCTTCTGTCTGACGAGCATTTGCTTCTGGATCCTGGAGCGAGCCTGATTTCATGCCGAAATCGGGTGTCGACTTGCTCGCAGATCAGTGTTTGCAGGCAGACCATGCAAAGTGCTGGCTTCCTCGATGACGATGGTAAGCCAGTCGATGTTGAAGCCTCGGCGACAGCTGACAGTTTGAGCTCGATATTGAATGCACCGTGCCACCTGCTTCCTCTGAAGGATTCTGTTGCAGCTTGGGCTGACTGCATGTGCGGCAACACGTTTGGTATGATTTGCGGTCTGTGCAAGGTCGATGCTCACAGACGGAAGTTGTTTGTTATCGAGCAGGACATTCCGATGTCGAACTCGCCTTGCAGCCTACAAGTCAAGTCATTGCGATCGTTATTCACGAATCGAGATCGTCTACTTTGCACGGCCTTTGACAAAAATCCTGTGTCACCCGGTACCTCATAATCGTGCTCCCTCTCAAGAGTGAATGAGAACGAGGCTTCGTTCGACGGCTCAGCTCCATCCGTGTGAGACAGCAGTATTGTGCCTTTTCGGTGCATGGTTCCGCAGGAATTGGCGCAGGCCGACATGGTGGAGCGATACCGTGCGAGGGACAAGGCGTGCTGTTGTCACTCGCGATGCTGGTGCTTGCAAACATGCAAGTCAGTAGCTTGCAGTCTAGACTTGCATGCTTGCCCAGGAGAGAAAGCGGGAAGAGATGATCATTTTGGCAAAGCGTCAAGAAGTTCATCAGCAGCGCATTGATGCTGCCGGGTGCCAAGATGCGATGAGATTGATCATTCCCAAGAAGCATTATGGCTGTGGGAGCATGCGCGGTTTCACTGTTGAGGTTCAGGCTGTTCGTGAAGGTCGCCGACGGCGTCGAGAAGTTGGAGTCTCACATTTTGTCACTTGTCATGTGAGTCTTGAATACGTGCTTTGCTTGTGCCTCTGGCTTTGTTGCCTGAAACCGACAGAATCAGAATGTGTGGCCTCCTTTTGCTCCCAGATGGCACGGTCATTCAGTCGGCTTAGTCAGTGTAGTTATGGAGAGGCTCTTCAGACTCAGGTTCTGAAATCATTGCAAAAACTGAAGGTCACTGCGGACGGCATGGGTGCTAGAAGCACAAGCAGCCTGCCGGCTGGGATCCTCATGTCTTATCATTCAAGCTCAACAGTGATGTGATTCTGCCCTGGTGGTAAGTCCTTGGTGGACTCTCGAGGGAATGAAAGCATGCGCAGTTGCATTTGTGGCTTCCCATTGCTTGCCTAACCATGATGCTGCATGGCACGGACATGTCCCAAACAAGTTGTCCCGTGGAAATTAACGGGCTTGTCAGCGCGTGTCGCAGTTGAAGACTAGGACAGGTGTGCCACTGGTTGCAACTTGAGCCTTGCCAGGCTATTGGCAATGATAGCCCTGTCTCCTGATCGTGGCTGCACTGCTGCTGGCTGCAAAGTGTGAGATTCGGATCACGGGTCTAAGCACATTTTCGGGCCTTGGGCTCGGAGGCATGGCGAGATCAGCATCACCCCTGCAGCTGAGTGGGCATGTCTCTGTAGCACTCTGTAACCCAACCGGAAGCAACATGGGACTTGGCATGGGACCGAGGCCACGATAAAGTATGTGAAACAGAGACATTCACAGCAGCTTTTGTCAGCTCTGGACCCTCCAAGAGGTTCCGATGGGGCAACCGGACTGTTCGATGTCGTGTCGATTGCAGTCAAACAGCTTATGGCAATCGTGCCTGCCATCATCATCCTAGCACTGCGACAGGTGCACGACCATATTGGTGATTCTGATAGTTTACCCTTCATCGTCGCCGTTGGACCAAGAAATCCTGGAATCGCAGGTAAATCATTGAGGTCAAGTACAGCTTCAACAATCCGAACTTGGCAGCAGGAGCAGCGGCAGCAGCATCCTAGCAGTAGTCATGAGCAGCAGCAACTACGAAAGCAGATGCGCTGTTTTCCATACTCCTAAGTCTGGAGAATATTGCTTGCCATGGACAAGATCTGCTACGGCCTCAGCCATGAAATTTGAATGGTCCAGTTTCATGAACATTCTGGATGGATTGGCAAAGCGGCATGTGAGCACGTCGCGTACCCCTAGCTGTCTAGGCCATAGTGGAGCTTCAAAAGGGCGCCAGTAGATGCTGCAAGAAGTGATGCCGGTTGCCGTCACAAGGCCGGGGATCGCGAATCGGCCATGCGCACGGCCGAGGAGCCTCGTGCTTCCGCCAGCGTTTTGATTTTGAGGCTGCTGAGAATGCTTGTGCATTTTTCCTGCCGACTTCATGTTCCGGCCTTACCCTACATTCTCCAGGTGTGTGCTTGCTGCCTTGCAGGACTCTGGCAGCAGATCGACAAATCGGGGGTGGACTTTCGCCGCGGGGGCTTCGTGACCCACACGTCCCCAAAGCTGGAGAACACAGTTCCAAGAAGGCCAGCTGCCCGAGGTTCGAGAGACGGCCGGGGTGACCCGGAGACTCGAGTGGAGCATGAGCACATGTCTTGCTCTGAGGTATAGCACTGGTGTCGTCCCCACGGCCTTCGCCACGGACACATTCCGTGAGTCCCAGGAGATCTTCTGCAACATGTGCTTGCTTCGCTTGTTCACAGACTGTGCCGTCTGATGCACGCGACATGCAACTATGTGTTGGCACGGGCAGCAGGTGGAAGGACTTCTCAGAACAAAAGCAAAAAGATGACAGCCAGTGTTGTGGGGTGTATGTCCTCTTGCTGACTGGGGTTGTGCTCCGACATTTAGTTTCGGGAGTTGGGACTTCTGCGTGCAGCCGGAATGCCTGAATGGTCTGGAGGACTGGTTTCGCCACGAGAGTGCGGCTCCTCGACCAAGGCCCTGTCTCATGAGTCGAGTTTCTGCATTCCCAGATCCAGAGATGACAGGACGCCGAATGCCACGCCCCGCAATGCATCGCCTCGGGGCGAAAGAGGCGATAAGTCCCAAGTGTTTCTGTGATGACTGGACCGCAGCTGGTTTGTGAGGCGAGCTGTCCTACGCTGCATTCCGTATCGCTTTCAAGTAAGATCGTGCGGAAAGGAACCCTTCAGTTCTTCGGCGCTTGACGTCTGTGACTGTAGATCATGCTCTGACCTGACCATGGGAAATGTCCTCCCATCAGCCTTCAACCTCCTTGCTGATTCAGTGTGCTGGATTGTATTGTCTTCGGGTACACCCGTCTGCTGTCCTTGCTGCGGCTTTTGCTGCTCGTCAATGGGCTCCTGCACTTTGTTTTGGTGTTTCTGTCGTTGGCAGCTTGGATGCCCCGGCAGCTCGACATGCAGCTGCGTGATGTTCCACGTATCCGAAGCTTAACCGTCGAGCCTATCGCTTCACAAGTTCTGACATCCAAGCCTCCTCCGCAGGCCTCTTTGGAAGCCGCTCGCCACGGTCCCTGTCGCCCCGCTCCCCCCTTCGAAGGAGCATGCCAGGTCCCCAGTTTCTTTTTGTCTGAGTCTGGCAGTCATGTCGTGTTTTGCGTCTTCGGCACACAAGGGAAGTACAGCATCGGTACATGCTAAAGTTGCCCGGGATGCGAACTCGCAGAAACGTAACTCAAGATGCTTTTGAGGGAATGGTCTTCCAGTCCTTACCCCTGGATCTAGTTGAAGCCGCGACGAAGCCTGCCATTCGTTTTCGCTGAAACTCTTCCTGATCCGTGTTCAGGTCAGCGCGGGCAACATTCCGGGCCGTGCACCTCAGAATGTTCCATGCGCTTGCCAACTGTAGAACGACAGCCACTCAAGGTAAGAACATGCTTTTGTTGCACATGCACTGTGTGAGGGGCTGTTGTCAGGGTTCTGCTTGAAGACTCTTCGGTTCTTTTGAGGAATGACGGCTTGTCCAAGCCAAGCTTCCAGCCCTTGCCGAAAGCTCGCGATTTCTTTCCACCTGCCAGGACAAGCCGGCTAATCTCTTCGACCGTGCTGATGAGACTGTCTGGCATGATTGACTAGCCGTTGTGCAGGTCTGCGTTGTTTTGCTTGCCCCTGTTTGGAAGGTCCTTCTGGCTCAGCCCTCGCACACCGAGGAATCTGAGCAAGGTGAGCTGGTGTAAAATGGCTCACGCGGCACACACCTTTCGTTTTCAATGCTGTGTCAGGTGAAGTCGGAGATAGAACTAACTGCGCCTCGTGGCAGCTTCAGCCGTGGCAGGCTGGAGGGCTCGAGAAGTGTGCAACTGATTTCATGCTTTAGCCGAAACTGTAGCTACCTGCTTTTCTAGTGCTTGTTGAGATTAGAGGGCACTGAGCTGCGCTGTCCCTGCAGGTCCGAATGCTTGCCAGACCGGATGAGCGCACGACAGCTCAGTGCTCGCCCAGACAGCGCACGACCACTAAGTGCCCGTGTGGATGCGAGCCCTCGACAGCGTGCTGTTAGCCCGCGAGACACGCTGGGACAGGACGGCTCAGGGCATTCGTTGCTGCATTGCGTACTGCGATGCATGGCATAGCTGCCCTTTCTGAAGACGCGAGCCAGCACTGTGCCAATGTTCTACAGGATCGAGACTGTCGCAGTCCGAGCGCAGCATCAAGGCTGGCCAGGCAATGTTTAAGAAGGTGGACACAGCCAGCCGGTAAGTCGTCTGATCTTGAGTACTTTGTGCCAAGTCCCTGTGGATCCCTTGCGGTATCAGAATACCCACTGCCAGGGTGCTCAGTCCGAACTGGAACATGTCCGAGGACTGGATGGCGTGAGCCTGGCAAAGAACACTGCATGAAGTGTTGTAGCTCGAGAGGCCTAGTGGAAGCCACATCCAGTTTGTGAAGTCGTGGCCAGGTATTCGCGCCCACGTGATCCCAGCCCGGTTGCGGTTAAAGCTGACCGCACGATGCCGTGTGGTTGCCAAGATTCAAAGGGCATGCTTTAAGCGTTGTAAAAACCTGCAGGCATTGGCAAGTTGCTAGTATTGCCATTGACCCTTCATGTCTTCCGACCTAGGGAGATGAGTTGTACGATTTATATGGCGGCATGGGGCTGTGGATGGTTTTGCATTTATCAGAAAGGTCGTCGAACTTCAGCTCTGCAGTGCGGCGAATGCACAGTGGCCACCAGCTTAGCCATCGGTCTGCGAAGCTTCCGTCCTTCAGTCCAAGCTTTCAATGTGCATGAGCGCAGAAGAGATGGCCACTTCGCTGGTGTAGACAGACATAAGGCAAGATCACGAGGAACTCGGAGAATTGGTGCGTGGCCCAGTACACAGACATGAACGTGTGCAGCGGAAGCTCGATTATGGCTAACTTTGGTACACTTCGTGAAACACATTCGTCAGGTTTTGTTTATTACTGTTGTTTTTGATGTCCTGAACTTAGAGTGGACAACGTCAGAAGCCTGGCCTGTTTCAGTGATTGTAAGATCGAAGGAGGAATTCTTGGTTCGGTGATGTTTCACAAGGTGGTTGCTGCCTCTCAACAAGTTCTGCTTTGGATCTCTCCATCAGATACCCCTGAGATTTCATCCTCAGCAGTCCAAACACTGTGACTTAACCCGGCAGGCCCAAGGGACTTCTGATCACACTGTCTGGGACTGGGACGGCTTCAAAGCGAAGAATCGCAAAGCACGTGTCCGAAACTCTGAAGACTGCCAGGTTGAGGATGAACGGCGAGGACACTGCTCGTTGGGAGTGTGATGGCCATGAAGTCCGGGAGACAAGGAACACACAAAGACACGAGTAATGCAAGAATGACAATCCCAGACACATACATGTAACCAGTGAGCGAGTGTATGAAGTAAGCTGAAATGCACATCATTCAACAAGCATGTAAAGGCATCTCTATGTACATGTGCGCTGAGCAGGACGGTGTCAATCTTTGCTTGCATGTTGTCTGTCTGCATGGATGCACCTATGTACTGTAATTGTATTGACAAAATATGTAAGACGACATATACCTAGTGATATTTGTGTTGCAATGCCGCACAGTGCAATGCACTGCAAGGCAGTGTAACGTAGTGAACATTTTGCAAGGTAATGAAGACTCAGGTGGAGTCATGTAAAGTGTTGCAAAGCCATGTATGGTATGATAGGGTAAAGTAGGCGACGGTAGCAGGGCAGCGCGGGGAGTGTGTGTTGGATAGGGATGGATAGGGCAGGCAAGGCACGTCGCGATTCGCAGGTTCGCAGGCACGCATGCACTGCATATGTACGTATGTGTGTATGTATCTTGGGATGCATGTATGCACAGATGTACGCATCTACATGTGTAAATATACGTGTGTGCACGTGTGTACCTCTGTACGTATGTATGCCTCACGTACATACGTGCGTATGTACGCATGTACATATGTACGTATGTACGTACGTACAGGTAGGTATATATGTAAGTTAGTAAGTATGAACGTATGTATGAATGAACGGATGTATGTATGTATGTATGTATGTATGTATGTAGGTAGGTATGTATGTATGTATGTATGTATGTGTGCGTGTACGTACGTATGTATGTGTGTATAACTGTATAACTAAGTGGGTAAGTAAGTGAGGAGCGACTGAGTATCCATCTCCCTACGGGTACCTATCCACCTATTTACCGATCTAACTGTAACTATCTACCTATCTATCTGCCTATCTACCTAGCTACGTATAATCTACCTATCTACCTATCTACCCATCTGCCTATCGACCTATTTATCCCCTATTGGGAAGAAGAGTGTTGCAGTTGCAGAGAGAGAGTGAGTGCTGCAGTTGTTTTGCGCTGTGACAGGATGCCAAGCCGACACTTGCAGCAATTGCAAACAGAGGGGGCCTCGATCCGACATGAGCGGCGTTCTGTATGTGGCACAGCCTTGATGCATTGACCTGACAGTAGATAAAGTCACTTTGTTCGACGGCTCCTGGAAGAAGCAAGAAAGGAAGCAGTTGTTGCAGTTGGTTTGTACTGCAGCTCATGACTGTACGCCCCGACAACCTTAGGCGAGAATTTCCAACTTTCTCGCGGAAAGAGAACAGGCTTGAACAAGGCCTTGGCAGCTGTCGTGATCGCCCGGCACGAAGCAGTTATAAGGGTGATGCTTTTTGTCTGTTCCTGCATGTCACGTCAAACTCGGAAAACTGCCGGTGCAGGACCCTGAGATCGCCAAGAAGTTGATGCGCTTCGAAGCACACAGGCCCGAAGTTCGAAGGGTGCTTGCAAGCCTTGCTCTGTTGTGGTCTTTCCATGCTTCTAAACAGAACAAGGGAAAGAGCGTCTCAGCCAGCGTCACAGATACATTCATGCGTTCAGCATACAAACACACAATCTGGGCGACAGTGTGATACCGACCTCTCGTTGTCAGGGTGCCAGAGCCACCCCCGAACAACCGTCGACACCAGTTCTCGGAGAATCCTCAGGCTGGATATGGAAGTGATGCATTTCCATGGCAAGCCTCTGTGATCCGTGGTCCGGGCAAGCTGTTCACACGACGTGTCCCAGTTCACCCGCCAGGCGGCGAAGCACGTGGAGGAGCGGTTTGCATGCCACAGTGGGGATGTAGAATGCAGAGTTTGGTTCGGCGAGAAAGCCAAATCTGTATGTCCCCTGCCTGTCAACGGTTGGTGCGGTTGACGCGGGTGTTTCCGGCACTTCACAAAATCAAATGTCGCAATGTTGTTTTTTCGAAATGGTGCGCTGCTTGACGTTCGTCTTCTGTGTGACGTGGAGGAGTTGCGCGCTCTCAGCCCGCGCAGGCCAGCAAAGTGTGTGTGTGTGTGTGCTGGTGTTTGTGGAGCTAGTCCGACTCCGCTGGTTTTCGCCAGACTGGCCGATGCCGCCTTGGCCGACACTCTAAGCCCAGCAGGTCAGGCGGCAGAAGCCATCGCGGAATTTGTTGGTCCTGCCTCGCTTTGGCAGGAAAGGCATCCGCGACAGTGTCAGTTCAGCATCGAACCAGTGGCGAGATGGCTCCCAGCTCAGAGTCAGCACTAAGGCTGCTACGTGTGTGGAGTATGTGAGTGAGTCACTCTTTGATCGAAACAGCGTGGCCACTCCAGAGGCGGCAGCCGTGCAGCCGGAGCTGTCGCCACGGCGAGGGGGTGCAGAGGACCGCCTTGGAGTCTCTCCAGGGGCTCTGAACTGCCACTTCTCAGCGTTCATCCGGTGACTTTGTATTCTGAGCTTATTGCCTGTCTCGGAGAAATACTTGGTGGGCGATGAGTTGGTGGACATCGAGAACCGGGGCTTGCGCAAGAGCCATGCCGTCAAGAAGGCAGCACGTCAGCCGGGGACTCCTGAGATCTCGGTTCTTTTAAAACAGCGGCATTCAGGCGCGAAGTCGACATCATTGCAATTCCGACGAGGCCGTCAACGGAGAGTGCGGGCGGGGGGGGAGTTGGGGCAGCCCAGGTGCGAGAGCACATCCAGCAGCCGGCCTCTCCTCGCTTGAGCTTTGACCACTTCGGGGGGAGTAGCCACGCCTCTGCGTCGCGCTTGTCACGCCAGGGATCCCGCGAGCTCGGCTATCCCGAGCTCGCGCTCCGAGCGGGAGCGAAGTGCTCTACCCAGAGTGTCCACCGGCATAGGTTTGGAAGAATTAAATTTGAGCTGGAGAGTACAGAGCGGTGACTTCTACCCTGATGCTTTGTAACAGCAACCTCCTGCTTTCAGGGGTGCACGTCTTCGGAGACTTCTCTGTCGTCCCAGCCACGATGCCGAAGGACACAGCGTCGAAGCCTCGGTCTCCGATCCGGACTACGTGACATGACGGTAGGGATCCGATGCTCTGCAGCATTTTGCAGACCACATGCCATCCCCTAAGCCCGCTTACAAGTTTGAGCACGGGCCAGGTACATACACTCTGGATTACGCGTTGTGAGGCCTTGGCGTGTTGCTTTCCTTGGTTGTGTCACCCATGTTATTTATGTACTTATTGCATAGCAAGACTCCAGGAACATAAGACTTCCGTTCTTTCGTTCAGTTTCCGCTTTGACGTGTCGGTGTCGTCAAAGTCAGAGTCTGAGTTGTGATGATCATTTCATGCCGCTCGCTTCTGTCATGGTTCTCTCAGAAGCATCCTTTGAAGTCAAGACCCTCCTGCGTGGGCAGCCATGGCGAAGCGTGGCCACGACGA